ATGGGTTTTCATCTTTTTCTCTCGATTGAATACGTTATTAATGCAGGAACCGCTGGTATATGGAGAATTGCTGCCATTAACGAGGCAGGTGGATGGAAGGATAGAACCACCGTCGAGGACATGGACCTCGCCGTCCGAGCTAGTCTTCGGGGATGGAAATTCGTTTACCTCGGAGATCTTCAGGTATTTATTCTTCTGTTTCATACACGGTAAATAAAACATGTCTAATTTATGCTTTCCCTTTGTATAGGTAAAAAGTGAACTTCCAAGTACTTTCAAGGCCTTCCGTTTCCAGCAACATAGATGGTCTTGTGGTCCTGCAAATCTGTTCAGGAAAATGGTGTGGGAGATCATTCAGAACAAGGTTAAATTTTGCTCTAAATTCATCTTTTTTTCACTCTTTTACTACTGTGTTAAATTCATTCATTTGTATTATTATCACGTCGTTGCAGAAAGTGAGATTCTGGAAGAAAGTTTATGTTATTTACAGCTTCTTCTTCGTCCGAAAGATCATTGCTCACATGGTCACCTTTTCCTTCTACTGCGTTGTCCTTCCCCTTACGATTCTGGTTCCCGAAGTTAAAGTACCGATATGGGGTGCCGTTTACATTCCTTCGGTCATCACCATCCTAAACTCTGTAGGAACTCCGAGGTATGGCGCGGCTATCTGACTCTTCGTTTTTCTTAAAGTATTCATATCGAACTTAAAATCAAACCTGACCCGACATTCACAGATCCATCCACCTATTGTTCTACTGGATTCTGTTTGAGAACGTGATGTCGTTGCATCGGACAAAAGCCACATTGATCGGTCTGTTGGAGGCAGGCAGAGCAAATGAGTGGGTGGTGACAGAGAAACTCGGGGATGCAGTCAAGAAAGCTGCAGAAGCCGTTAAGAACAAGACGAATGCTAAAGCTCCCAGAAGATTTAGAATCAAATTCACCGATAGGTAAAGAAGTTTCGATACGTGTATACGATCCGTGGAATATATGCGTATTCATATATAATTTATTGTATGAACAGATTGAACACATTGGAGTTGGGATTTGCAGCATTCCTTTTCCTATGCGGATGCTATGATTTCGTCCACGGGAAGAACAACTACTTCGTGTACCTATTCCTCCAAACCATTACCTTTTTCATTACAGGAATCGGGTATGTGGGCACCATCATTTAATGCTCCAAACAATCTTCTTGTCAGCATTTGTTGTCACTGTACTAGAGCTTTTTCTAGACTGCCAAACATGCAAAAATAGAGAGGCCTCTCAGCAATCTCTCATTCAATATAATTCAGTACAAAGCAGAGCTGTCGTTATCTTTCCAGTTAATGGAGAAATCAACAGAGAAAAGAAGATTGATGTTGTTATGGGCACAGAGGAGGTGGACACTCCAAAAGAGAGCTTTGTAGTAAAATTTAATTGGAGATGATGTTATTTTTCTTTAAATAGTTTGCTTCTAGTGGCGAGATTTATTGTCTTTTTTATACCACTTGTTTTGGTGTTTTTTTATTATATATTAATTTTGGGTCTTGTGTTGGTAAAAGTTTTGCTGCAAAAATGAAAATAATATTAACAAAGTATATTATTGATTTCACTTTAATTGGTATAATGGTCAAAATGAACATCGGTTTTTAAGATCAATACAACACTTATAGATTAATATACTTTTAATAAAAAAAAAAGGTTGAAATTCAATCAGCGTTATTTTTTTCATTTGGAAGAAGAAAAATGATAAAGACGTTGAAGAGTAAAAGAGAGCAATAGAAGCAGTGTTGGTATATAAAACAGTAAGATGAAGATTATGTTTTTTAGAAGAAGCGGAAGAATAAAGTGGTAGAAGAGAGAGAACTTTTACAGAACTCCTATATACCGACTTAAAAAATAATCAAACGATTTGCTTCATTATCTTAATTTACTGGATTCCTTCTCAAGTGGGCAATGCTATTGTCAGGGCCTTGATTTCACTCATTTTTACCTCTCACCTTTCAGTTAAAAACTATTACTATCACAACCATTTCTGCATTTAATTCCGGCTTAAGTATACCAAAAGTAAACTCGTTTTTTCAGTTTAGTGTCTAACATTTATTTCTTTCCAGTTTGGTGTCTAACGTTTTATTCAATTACTCAAAATGAGTCAAGCCGTCAACAACGTTAATTTTCTCCGTTAAGTGACACGTGTCACAATATGATAATTTTAAAAATTTTATATAAAATATATATATATATATATATATATATATTAAAAAAAGAAAACACATAAATTTTAAAATAATCCTAAAACTTTGAAAACCTTCATTTTAACCCCTAAACCCATGCCGGCCGTCAACGAAGCACCATCCGACATCACCTCTCCCCGGCAAACAAAACTCCTATGAAATCGTGACTGGTCAACAGTCGATCGACGGCGAATCGACATTTTATACCCGTGAACCCAAATATGAAAATCACAATCCCAAGCAATTTTAACGGCCAATTGACCACAATTACGACGACTTGTAACTAGGATGATGACAATGACTATGTCGACGGCGGTGATCGTGGCCGGAAAGGGGCGGCGGGTTGGAGTTAGGATTAGGGGATTTTGAGGCTTTTTTGTAATTTAAAATAAATAAAAGTTTTTTTTATAAATATAATAATATTTTAAATATTTTAAAAAAATAATTTACAAAATTATGAGATTGTGACACACGTCACTCAAGGAGAAAACTAACGGTCTATCACTGCTTGACCCATTTTGAGTAACGAAATGAAACGTTAGGCACCAAACTGTAATGAAATAAATGTTAGGCACTAAACTGGAAAAACGAATATAGATTGGGCACCTTTTGTATACTTAAGCCTTTAATTCCTCCCCTATGTTTTTTTCTCTTGTGGTTTCCAAAGTTTTGCCTTGATTAATCTGGTCACCTGACTTTGGTGAGTAAATCTCTCGAGAATTTTCTAAATTAACAAGGACTCGAACTCAAATCCTATTTATGCGATATCAAGTTGCTTACCACTTAAATTAACCCGTTGGTAAACCAAAATCTCCCCAATGTTTTAATATCCATATTCAAACTATATACATAACAAAATACAAGCATAGATTATATTGGTATTTTGTAAAAGTTGTGCACATGCAAGCAGTGTAGTTTTCTGAGCGAACTTGTCATGCACGTACATACCACATGATGTGGGGCTTTTACTCCATAATTGGCCAAAAGGGCGAGGGATTATGGCAATAGACTGAAGTTCTCCGATATTATAATTCCAATATATGAACAAATCCGTAAATAATATTTATCATCTCTTACAAGTGACTGCATAAAACAACACAAACATATTGAGATGAAAAATAATATATATTTTTTTGGGACAAAATCAGTCAATTCTCTAACATTGAGAGATGGTGATATTTTTGCATAATTGGGGTCATTTATTTCTGAAACAAGGCACATGGTGTCTTCTTCATCAGCATCTATTTTCTGCTATGTCCATTCAATAATAAATAGGGATGGATAATGGGATCACTTCTGTCTTCTTTTAAAAAAATTTGTTTACTCATATCTTAGGTCATTGTTCTGGTAAAATTAAATATTATTTTTCTGATTTTTAAGATGAGATATATAATATATTCATATTACTTTAAATTTAAACAATCGATGTCTCTTAATAGTTTATTTTATGTCTATTTTTCCAAGAATCTTAAATGTAAGTGAAGTTACTAACGATTAGTTGGATTTGTAGATTGAGACACTATAATCTTTAAATAAGTTAAGAGAATGAAGTAAATTAGGTTAAGAGGGTCACTCCGTTATAGATTAATTAATCAATAATAGATTAAATATCGATAGTTAATTTAAAAAGTGAAGTTAAAGCGGTCCAGTGAACTGCAGTCCAATAATTTTATATGTCATTTGTATAAATATAATTGATAAAAGGTTTTCAAATCTTAAGCTTCTCAAGGATCTGTCGTTGATTTATGTATGTTGTAAAGAATGTGAGGCAAAGTGTGGAGTTCAACTAAGTTATGTAACTATTAGTAATTAGATTTTGAACTAAAATTTTAGTTTTTATAATTAGTTCATTAATAAATTAAAAAGAGTTTATAAAGAAAATATATAAATCAAAAAGGCTGATTGTTGGTAGGGATGACAATGGGTCGGGTTCGGGTCGGGTTCGGGCCGGGTATTGGTCCCCGTCCTCATTCCCGTTTAAAAAACCCGTACCCGTCTCCGCTTAAAAACTGCGGGGATCCCCATCGGGTAATAGGAGAAAACCGCGGGGAAACGGGTATCCCCGTTTAGCATAAACGGTTATTTAAACGGATATTAGGCCGGGTATATATATTTAAATTAAATATATAAATATTATATATATATATTAATTTAAATTAAATTTATTAATATTATATATATATATATATAATTATTATTTTTAATATTTATCGGGCCGGATATCGGGCCAGGTAATCGGAGCAGAGATTACCAAACCCGTCCCCATTCCCGTTTAACATAAACGGTTTTCCCCATCCCGTCTCCTTTTATCATCTCCGAACCCAACCGATTTAATTCAGTTTTCGATTTTTCACGTCGGGTTCAGGTTTTTTTTGTCATCCCTAACTGTTGGGCAAATCAGCCAATTGGTTACTGATTCCGGTAAAATATTATATATAGAATAAATTTCAAGAGAAAACATAAAAGTTCGTTTGATTTGACGATGTGAAAGAATGGATGAAATTTTGATATATAAAGATTTAATTAGCTAATCAGCATATTAGTTAACAATTATCTTTAAACAGAGAGATTAGTTATATTATTAATTTTGGGTTAGATCAAGTACTTTCTATTTTAAACCTGAATTGATTTAATTTCAGTCTTTAATACGAAAAATATTTAAGTTTGAATCATATTGAAACTGAAATGTAAGCTGAAACCAAGCAAGTCCATATCCCGATTCGTCCTCCCACTGAGTTCGAGCCTAAACCCAGATCGCTTAGCTCAATAACCGTATATCTTTTCCACGGCTCCATCTTCTTCCTACAAAACGTCGAACTCCGTTCATTGTCCGATCATCATCGAGTCTCCAAGAGGTCAACATGTCGCCGTCTTCTTCTTCGCCGCCGACGATGGCGGAAGAGAGGGAGCTGAGATCGGAACTTCAAGCGTCGGTTACGTTTCCTCCGATAAAAGCAGCGAAGAGAGTAGTGCTGGTGAGGCATGGGCAGAGCACGTGGAACGAGGAAGGCAGGATCCAAGGGAGCTCCAACTTCTCTGTTTTGACAAAGAAAGGCGAAGCTCAGGCTGAAACTTCCCGCCAAATGCTCATCGATGACTCCTTTGATGTTTGCTTCTCCAGGTCTTCTTTAATATACTATTTGAAGTAAAAATATTTTATTAAATGTAAAATTTGTCAATTTTAGTCTTCATTTTAAGCACTCAGTACACTCTTTAGCTAAACCTTTTTTTTTTTGGAAATATGTAGATTTTTTCTTAAAACTTATTTTGAAAAAATAATGCAAGTATACATATTTCCGGATAATTAGGATCTATAATTTTTTTGAAGGATCAAATTTTGAAATTTGATGACATTTAGGATCTATAAGTGACATTTAGGATTAAATTAAAGAAATGTATTTAGTTGAGAAAAAATGGTAAACGGATGTAGAGAGGAGTGAATTTTATACATATTTTAGGAGATTAGGATCGATAACTTTTTGAAGAATTTAAGTGTGAATTTTGAACTGGAAATTTATATATATGACATGAATATGTTTGAATAAGTGGCAGAATTTAGCTATTTGATAGTTTTTAATTAACGAAATGTATTTATTTTTACATAAGATTTAATACATTTGCAGTGCAATTCAGAAGATTTATTTGCTTTTGAATTCATAAGGTGGATTTTCTTTCATATATTTCAGCCCCCTCATTCGGTCGAAAAGAACAGCTGAAATCATATGGGGGACTCGAGAATACGAGATTTTAACAGACTCTGATTTGAGAGAAATTGATCTTTATTCATTTCAAGTATGTTTTTGCTCAAATTCATCAAGTGTTTTGAGTTATCGGAACACATAAAATGCAAGTACATACTTTTGGTTAGGAAGGTTTAATGTCTTATGGTGATTTTTATCTCAGTTTATTGGCGGATTTTAGGGCCTCTTAAAGCATGAGGGGAAGGCAAAGTTCGGTCCAGCTTATCAACAATGGCAGGTTGATGCTGCAAACTTCAACATTGATGGTCATTATCCCGTCAGAGAGTTGTGGGGGCGTGCCCGAAATTGCTGGGATAAAATCCTTGCTCATGAAAGCAAGTCTGTTCTTGTGGTTGCTCACAATGCTGTTAACCAAGCTCTAGTTGCAACAGCAATTGGTACTTGTCTATTTCTATGTTATGGTTACTATTTTAGGACACAAATGGTCACTTTTACTTTTCTAATATCCTTTCGCCTTTGCTGATGATCAGGACTGGGAACAGAATACTTCAGGATTTTGCTTCAGAGCAATTGTGGTGTAAGTGTGCTTGATTTTGTCCCGTGCCCAGAGGGAGGGTCTCCATATATCTGTCTCAATCGTTTAAACCAGGTATGCTATGAATTTACCGAAAAATATCAGATTTTGAAAACTCCGTTTCTTGCTCTTGATTCTGTTGTTGGTCCCACAATAACACTTGGTACTTCAGTCTGGTTCCATTATGTATATCACGATTAGTAATGAGCTGAAATTCTGAATATATGGGAAGTATCTTCATTTATGTAACTGTAGTTCTTGATTTGTGGGAAGTATTTTCAGTTATGCAACTGCAGTTGGTTTCGTTCTATTAAATTATGCATTTGCTTTGATGAGGATTACTGCTATGCTGTCCATATCATATGATTGGTGGTTATGTTGTCTTTTAAATATTGTGCAGACACCGGGTTCTCCTGTTGCTTCTGGGGCCGGAAGAAAGACAAGTAAGCGGATCATACTTGTTTGTCAGGGATCCACACAGGATACAGAGGTACGGGAGCAATGGCTGGGTAGTTTGCCAGCCCCTTGTACTGCCACTTTTAACCTTAAGTTGCATGAACTGATGCTCTCATATTTAGACACATTCTCTTGAATACTGAAGCTCCATATCACCTAGCAGAGAATTGTCCTTAGGACTAGCATAACTTTGGATAATATATATGCCTTTTTGATTTAGTGTCAAAAATATTTCCCACCGGAGAAGGATTGAAATATTAAAGATGGGTAATTTGTTTTACTCGTCTACAATCTGTTGTTTTACTCGTATCAATTTCAAGATTATAATCATTACTTGTATCATTGCACAGGCTACTGCTGCTGGCTTAGGTGATCAACCAATGAACATGCTTGGGGTTATACAGGTATATGATTAATATTATTCATGGATTAATCATTGAGTCGTATTATCCAACTCTATTCATTGTTCTTAACAGGCCCAGAAAACTGCAGAGTTGCTTCTTGATCTGAAAGTGAGTGCCATAGTTAGCAGCCCAAAGAATGCCTGTGCCGAGACAGCAAATATTATCTCCCAAGTAAGCCCTTCTTCATTGTCTTTCAACTAATAAACAATGATAGTTTTTTCAGTCCCATTTTGTCCCATAACTCCTAAAACTTTCTACACTGTAGGTGCAAGAAGCTGCCGATTGCTTGGGTGCTGATTGTGTTCCTCGGTATGTAGAGATGAAGAGAATACCGGACCTTGATGTTGCCGAACTCTTTCAGCCATCTACAAAGGCAGGATATATGAACATCATATTACAAGATACTTCTATTTACATTTACTGCTTTCTTCACCGACATAGGGATCGAATAATTAGGAATATTGATTGTTAACTATTCAACTAATTCACGTCAGAGATGATACCGGCACAAAATGATCTTTTCACTTGGTTTTTGGCTTCATATGTTTGTCTGTTCTGTAGGACACAACTGAACTTTTATCTCTACGCCCTGGTTGGTCAAATGGATTAGAAGACGGAGTCACGTCGACACTACAAGAGCAATCCGGGCAAGCCTGGCGTTCATTGCTGGCCGAACTATCTGATGAGTCCGAGGAAGAAAAAGTCATTGTTGCTGTAGCTCACCCCATAGCTCATATAGCATTGATAGGACACTGCCTGAAAGTGACAAAAGAATGGCTGGGATCATTCCATCTTGATGCGGGGAGCATCAGTGTCATTGATTTCCCAGACGGACCAACCGGTAGAGGCGTAATCCGGTGCATAAACTACACTGCCCATCTAGGGAGATGGTCTATACCAATTACAAGATCGACGGTGGACGATGATTCATTTTGATTGTGAACATGTATAGATCCCACATACATATCAGCTAAAAGATACTTCGGTAGTGATACTGTATATCGCTTGAAATGTTCAGTAAGAACTGAAGTTTCCTACTTACCCTCTAATTTGTGCATTCCGTGCATTTATATATATGATCAAGAGCATTAGTACAGTCAGATCAGTGAAATTTTTAAATTTTATTAACGAGTTAATTTTTTTAGATATTTATAAGAAAATACTTTTATTATTCTAAAAATACTAAATACATATTTATAATTATATGAAGCACCCAAAACCTTAAAATACAGGAACTGTGTATACCCATTACAAATTCTTATTTTTTTTCACTAAATGGATCGTACTATAATTTTTTTTTAAATTAGATCAAATAAAATTTGAGTTAGAATTTTTTAAATTAAGAAAAAAAACGTGATATCATGATGTGGCTGCTATGTAAGTACATTATATATTCATATGAATGAGATAAGATGCTAATGCAAGAAAAAGATATAGAATTTTAAATGGCATTTTCATTGATTGAGATGTTATCATTCTCAACAAGGAAATCATATGCAACGACTTCCACGAAAATGCGAAACTAATATATATTTTAACCACTTGCTATAAATATTATTGACTTGGATTATTAAATTCTAAATGAAGATTCAGGTTAGAGAATTAAAAGTCACATTTTACATACTAATATGTCTTGTATTATATTCAATTATTTTTAAATGACTCTTAATTCATTGAATGAATTGTTGTAAATCATTGAATTTTACTTTATATATCAATAATTAACCACATATATGCATTAATAATGTCATGTTTCAATTCACATTAATTTTAAGTCCGAGTTAATCATTTTTCTTATTGACGTAGGAAATCGGTCCTTTGTTTAAGGACATTATTTGGAATTAATAACATTACTTCTAGCAGACAAACGAAAATCGAAATAAGTATTCATTTAAAATTTGATTATTTATATCATTATATTTTGAATTTGATAATATAATCAAAGTCTAAGCATTTTAATATATATAATATTGGAAATTTGCTTTTGTATCCCTAATAACTATACATTTACAACTGAACATTCATCAGTTTTAACAAATGCGAATTTATTTTATGAATTATACATTCACAAATTTATCAAGGTTCTTTTATTTAATACATGATTGGCAACCACATCAAATGACATCACCAGGAACTTGGCATTGAAACAAGAAAACAAATTTATGAATCGTGTTATAAAAGTATAATCTAAAATTATCATTTTTAGATATGCATAGATTCTTCAAAATTTTATCATCATCAAACATATTTAATTTATAATCTTATATTGAATATTGAAACAAGAAAACAACATTAATTTCATTTATGAATCTTCTCGTAAAAACATAATTTAAAATTATTTTTAAATGTTTATAAATTTCTTAAAATTTTGTCATCACTAACTGTGCATATTAAATCGAATCATGACAATAAAATATTGAAGTTATGCTCTTGTATCAATTTTGCAGTTCATCACACATTGATTTAGCTTGGGAGAAAAATTGAGAGAAGCACTTGGCACATTGAAAAAGGGTGTGCAGAATAATAAATAGACCAATACCTAATAGTCTACAAAATTGTCCTAATCTCCAACTCCCAAACTATTAAGTGGAATGTCTTTTTGTCAACTTCTAGAAATATTGACTCAGTTTGATCATTTTCACTGTAGAGTACATAAGAAATTGTTGAATTAAACTATAATTATAATTATAATTATTAAACTTTACTGAATTTTTATAAAATGATTAATGTCATGTTATAATAATAATAAAATTTTGATTGTAGTTGAAGGCCCTTTATCCTGTTTTTTCTTATGGTCCAAAGCATAATTAAGTCTTTAACAACTAATTATAACACAATACAACATAAGAAAAACATAATATTCTCAAAGTCTCTAGTCTATATTGAATATTGACCCTAAACCCTAAGAGAGTTAATGGGGGCATTGACTTCAATTGCTTTTACCACCATCTGGTCAATAGTATAACAAACAAGCAGCCATGATCTCATCTCGAGATTGATTCAAGTAAAAAAAAAACACATACAAATACGATGAAAACAGATGTTGGTATTCAGACCAGGTCCAAGTCCAACACTCCAACTTTTTTTTAACTTTTATAAAAGTGATTAAAGAAAGCATAGCTTGGAAGGATTTTCAAAGCATTTCACTTTTGTTTCCCCCCCTTGTTTACTGCAGATTATATATATACATATAAGAGATCCATATCTGAAACACTTGTGAATCAGTGCTTGTAACATAAACTTGTCCAGTTTCCCAACACATATTCCTGTTTCTTTTAGGACAATGAGAGATATTATTTCATGTTTTAGTGAAAACGCTGTAAATGTTTCTCATTCTTCATGTTCAAGCAATGTCTGTAGCACTCAAAGCTTAGTTCCTTCACTAAAAAGTGCAGTCACAGGTGTTTACCAAGTGATTCTTTCCAACGGCAAGTACCTGTTGATCAGAGTCACATGGTCCAAGAATCAGACCGGTGAAGGCCTTGCCATAAACTTTGGTGACGATGACCCCTTGACATGTTTCAACATCAAAACGAATTCGAGGATTTTCGGGAAGAAGAAAGGAAATAGAGTGACTGAATCCGGTCACTCGAAGATCGAAGTCTTTTGGGATCTTTCGACAGCAGAATACCACACGGGACCGGAACCGGTCGATAGGTTCTATGTTGTGGTCGTGGTCGATTCAGAGATAAGCCTTGTTCTAGGCCGTGTGGGTGAAAAAAATATTGTGAAAAAGCTCAAGACTAGCACCACCAAAGTGGCGAAATCCTCTCTCGTAAGTCGGCAAGAACATTGTTCGGGCAATACACATTATTCCACCAAGGCTCGATTTTGTGACACGGGCATTGTACACGATGTTTCGATAAGATGCAGCGTAGAACATCAAGGCCTAAAGCATCCGGTTTTATCGGTTTGCGTCGACGATAAGAATGTGATTCGTGTGAAGAGGCTGCAGTGGAATTTTAGAGGAAACCAGACGTTTTTTGTTGACGGATTGTTAGTTGATCTGATGTGGGATGTCCATGACTGGTTCTTCAAGCCCGTCTCCAGCTCTGCCGTGTTCATGTTTAGGACGAGAAGTGGACTCGACAGCCGGCTTTGGTTGGAGGAGAAGTTGTTGCAGAAAGAACATGACAGAGCTGGATTCTCTTTGTTGATATATGCATGTAAGAGCACATAAACAAAACTATTTCACTTTTGTTCATATTTGGTTATTTGTTTTGGTTTCCGTTGGGCTTATTGCTATGGAGCAAACAAAAAGCCAAGTGTAAAGGGGATGGGCTTTATATTTAACATGTTCTAAACCCCCCCCCCCCGCCAAAATAAATTCTACACATATTCCAATTATGAATTTAATATGGCTGATTATGTTTATCTTTATGGATGAGAAATTTTTTTATTATAAACATAAAGAGTTCAAATATATAAAATTTGAGTATCTCATCAATCTGATATAGTTCATGAACTCGTTCCATATAAATGTTAGCCTCTTGTTTGATAAATAAAAGTATTGATTGGAATCCTATGATAAATAAAGAATGAATAATTTTGGCCTAGAATCAATCAAGGACTAAAATTCCATAATTTCCAAACGCAACTTGCATTTGTATAAAGAAACACAATGTTCAACCGCTCAAACTAGTGGATCATGATGTACCAAAAACAACACAACTAGTGGATCATGTGCATACTATATCAACGGAGACAAATTCTCAATGAATTCTTTTTTGAATATTTTTTTTATTCCAAATAAATACAATTTCCAATCTATATCACAAAACAACCATAAATATAAAATGCACACCCTAAACTAAAACCAGTGTTCTAATTATGGTTTTAATCCCTTTTCTACATTAAAATTCGAGATCTATTCTATCATATATACTTCTATTTATATAATGTTATTAGTAGGTTCAAATCGATAATATCATCTATTATTGCTATATGTATATAAAAAAAAAACCTTAAGCATTTTTATAACATCGAAAATTTATTATTGGTCGATGATGAAAATCAAAAAGACAATGAATCCATGAGTATGTTAAAGATCATTAGATTATCTTCAAATAATTACTTTGATCGTTTTTTTTAAATTACAAAATAATCATTATTTATTAAATTATTATAAAATAATTATTAAATTTTATTATACTATTATAGAATGACTATTAAAGTTATTGTATAATAATTTAATAAAAATAATGATTATTTTATAATTTTTAATAATCAAAACAATCATTTGACCATAATTGATTTAAGATGAAGCAACATCTAATTTTGACGAAACAAATTTCTAATTTTGACAGAACAAATTGAATTGAGAGTGTCACTCCCATGTTAAATCTCTATAATACCCAATTTAAATTAATTTATTAATTGATCAGATATTAGTAGTTATATCATAAAAAATAAAATTATAACACAAATTTCACGATTTTAGGACTTAAAACTATAATTAGACCAAAATTATAACGATCGTCAATGTCCGTTTCTTTTCAGTAAATTGAACAACTCGACGAGCGAGTAGATTCATATGGAAACAAACTATTATGTAGTTCAGAAATTGATGCAATGATTATATATATACATATGTATTGTTTGATTTGCTGAAGAAAAAGAATCGAAGCTACAATTTTTTTTTTTTTGGGTTAACGAAACTAGAACATTTTATCAAGAAGAATAACAAGAGCCATTGCAAAGTCCGTCCGTATATTTTCAGGCTTAACAACAAGACGGAAAATGTCGCTTCCGAAGGCAGTCCCTCCGCCACCCTCTTTCCGCCTTATCTCCGCTGCCAACCTCCTGTTGTCACCCAGCACGGCGCAGTGCCGTTGGGAGTAAGACCCCTCGATCTCGTACACGGTTTTCTTACTCCGATCGTTACCGATGACATAAGCCAAGCACTTGTTGTTCAATATGCTGATCGATTTCTTCACCGAAAATCGAGGGCTCGCCATGGTTTCTTCTCCCTCGTAAACCAGCCAGTTCTCTCCCAGTCCCAGGCTCATTCTCTGCCATGCCATCATAAATGCCGAAACGACTTAGATAAATTTCACCCAAAATGCAAGTGAACAAACAGAAGAAGAAAAAAAGTATATGTACCTTGCGGCGGATGGTGAGGAGAGGCCTGCCATTGGCATCCATTAAAAGGATGGATCCCTTGTTGCTTTGCATATAATTATCCACCCTGAATGCTAAATCGCCTTTACCATCGAACACCGTGAAGCCATTACAGTTGAACAGCAATGATTTTTTCCAGACTGTTAGAACGACTTCCTCTTCATCGGACGTCTCCGCCGCTACTAACACACCATGGGCGCCCGTAAAACCAGCATTGGGATGAACCTTTGTCATTCTTAAAGGTTCCAGCTTTTCTTAACTAAAAAGAAGGATTGCAATCAGAGAGTAAACCACCAGCAAGCTGCAACTCAACACGATCAAAGCAAGTAGATGAAATGGATATGAGTTAGGCAGAGATATATATAGTAGTATATATGAAAGGGGCATAGGATTCGAGTGTGGTGACAAAAGTCTAACACGGGTGCTCCACTACCACCTTGAAAATGACGTGAAAACAGCATTGGATTGGACGGAGTTGAAGAAAGTGATATAGGATAAACACGACGTGGGCTGTCTGACAAGGATATTACTTTTGTAGGATTTAGAATAGGGTTAAATTATGTGGCTGACAACTAAGCTACGGTGGAAAACTGTGGACACGTGTCAAATGGATAAGGCCCTTGTGTTGGATATTTTAGTGTACGATCATCTCACGATTGATCAACTCTCGTCGGGGTTCTAGTTGAAATAAAACGCGGCCTTAGAGCCTTTGTTTAGACACGACATAGACATAGTTTCGGGCACACATAAAATTCACGTGTGGTAAAAGAGGGGTTTGGCTACTATTTGAGGTTTTAATTCTCCTTATAAAAATTTATTTTTAAAATTATAGTTTTATCAATGAATTAAAATATTAACGGTTAAATATAATATTGACTTAATATAATAATAATTTTAATCACTAAAATTCATCAATTATGGTATAACCTAATATAATAATAATTTTAATCATCAAAATTCATATATCTTATTAATTTTATCTTAATTTAAAGCAATTCAATAAATCTAATTCTTCGTATATATAAATCTTATTAATTTATTTTTTGTTCTTCACCTAAATTATTTTTTTGGATAATTTAATTTTATTACCCAAAGAGCAGAGAACTGCTAAAAAAACAATCAATGTTCGGAGTACAAAGATCACCCTAAGTCAAAAAATGGCAATCAAACAAAATCAAACTATACCCCAATGATTACAAAGAGTAATATTAACAGTATCTAATATATTAATAGACCTACCCCTTAGATGAAATCCAACATTTTCCTTGATAGCATTGAACATAGCTTCAACGGTTGAAGCTTGACCTTGAAAAAGCCTCTTGTTCCTTTCTTTCCAGATAGTGTAGATTAAAGCATTGGAAGAGATTTTCATTAAAGAAGTGAGAAGGGATTTACCCTTCCAAGTAGCAGCAACCCAATCATAGTGGCCTTCCCAAGAAGTGTGCCTAAACCAAATACCATTGAGGGAGAAGACAACAGACCATAAAGCAGTAGCAATCGGACACTCAAAAAATAAATGATTTCTAGTTTTCATACCAGAACCACAAAAAATGCAGTGACAATCATTAACAATTCCCATACGGTGGAGCCTTTCTTTTGTAGGGAGTGTCAAGGAATGTCATCCAAGCAATAAGACTATGTTTTGGGATGAGAAGAGGAAACCATAGCAGTGTGTGCCAATGAACTTTAGGGTTCTTAACCCTAATCTCACTCCATAAATCACTAACTTTCTTGGAGTCAGAAGGCAAAAGAGTCTCACTCCATAAATCACTAACTTTCTTGGAGTCAGAAGGCAAAAGAGAGGAAGCTTCAGTCCTTAACTTCAAAATCTGTTGTACACTCCAGCTCATACTATCTTTGACAACAACATACCAAAAATCATTTGCTTTAAATATATACCTACTTAGCCAAGCCACCCACAATGATCCTTCTCCGGCCAGAATATTCTTAATGAGGATCATCGTGCAAGCTTTATTTGTTTAATAAAATATATTTATTTAATTGTTGTTTTGATTTAAGAATATCATAAAAAATTAAATTGGTGAAAATTTTTATCCACAAAGAATTATCTTTTGAAAGGATTAGGATCATAGGATTTGATAATGTTTTTGTAGTAATTAAATTATAACCTTTCAATTTTAACGATCTGATAATGTGTTAGTAATAATTAAATTATAAGCTTTAGAAGAAAAATAACTGGTTTATAACCAAAGTAATGATTAACATGAAGTGTAATTAATTCACACTCTTTTTTCTAGGCTGAAAATATCCCAACTAAATCAATCTCGAGATCTAATGTCAACCAGAACTAAAACGACATCATTCGCCAATACGCCAAAAGAGCACGAGTCACATCAGTTAGAAACACACGAGTTAGAAGCACGGATACCTTTCCTTACAAACGTAAATTCACAATCCTATCGAGATTATTCGTGTTCAACGAAGACTAAAGAACTCAAACAAACATATAAATCATCAAACAGCTTGCTAAATCTTGAGTTCTTATCATTTACCCTTCAAAAGAACAAATATCAAATATAATTCCACATGGTATCTTTCACAATTTCCATTGGCAGCACAGAAGTGGCAAACCAAACAATTATTAAAGCAAATAAACAAGCATTGTCATGCTAGAAAGAAAGCACAAAGTCCAGGAAATACATGTCTTCTAAGCATGAGTAGAGAGCATCATTCCGTCTTTCCAATCCCATGAGACATGTTATATATCCCTTGTCCCTGAAAAAAACCAACAACAAAGCACACAACATGAGCAATAGTTTCATGCCGAAATGGTAAAAAAAAAGTTCCTGAATCTTTTCTACAGCAAATGGAGGCTTAAGTTTACAATTACAAAGGAACTCACGATTAAGAACAGAGAACTTGCAACCAGAGCAGCAGGAATAGCAACAGATGTGATCTTATCGTAAGGTCCTTTCAGGTATGTGTGCTTGTGGATGTTTTGGAAATATTTCTGATACTCAATAAGCTTCTCCCTAGGTCTGAATGGTTGCTCAGACATCCTGCGTCACAAGGTAAGAACACAGTTATGAATTATCTAAAAGAAGATTTTCAAAGCACCAAAGACACCTCAACCCCGATTTTTCTCTCTTCTCAAATTGGCACATTCATATATCTCTTCATCTATTTTAACCAATAACATGGCTGAAAATTCACACTCCACATAAATCCCCTAGCCTATCCCCATAACCCATAACTTCGAGTTCACAACAACATGCAGGCATCAGCTTGCATCAACAAAACGCAAGATTTAACAGCAGTCCTCTCCTACATTACTCGGACTCGAGTGTAGGTGTTACATATGGAAGATCACTGAACGTCATATCCCTATCCTCATATCCATGTACCAGACATGAGAGTTGGACACAAATATTTGATGAAAAAACAAACTTGAGCAACATAGGAAACCCGTTTTTTTTCTTGTTTGGGGGGGGGAGCTAGATTAAAACAAGGACAGTTATTGATCTTCACATAACAAATAAAGTTGATGGGCAGAGAATAAAACTGATTTGCAGCAATGAAATAAAGTTAACCATCACAACATTTCGCTTCGGAAGAATCCCCAAAAAGGAAGATATCACATGAGTAGGCAGGCATTTAAAGTTTAATAATCATAAAAGGCCTTCGATATTCATAAAAAAAAAACTCATCGTATCATCACTCTATTGCCTAAGAACAGGCAATATAAAACAAAATAAAATGAACAACACTAAACCCAGTTCAAACACAAGAGGATACAATTTATGAATCCTTGGCTAAGACGCATATTAAATGGCTTCAATTAACAGCTCTACCATACCTAGCCAAAACAATTCCAAGTAGTTAATGTAGACTATTTTGAAAAAAATTTGATTCCTTTGTTGTAAATCTATACCTTCTCAAGCCACAAACATCGAAGATTGACTCCAATAAACCCAATAAAAAAACCCTAATCAAGGAAATAATACCTCGAAAATCAAATCAGTGGATTCAAACATCAGATATAATTATAAAAAAACACTTAAAATTTGCACATTAAATTAAGCACCTTTCAATATCAGATTCACAGAAGAAAAATAGATAGTAAGAGCAATCGGATCAAATCAAACCTGATTCTTTCTTTCTTAGGTTAGGAAAACCCTAGAATTTCTTGTCGACTTTGAGCCTATCAGGATTGTAGGAAATTGAAGGAATAAATAGGTTGAGTGGGCTTAGATTTTCTGGCCCAATTAAAGATCATATTTTTACCGATTCAGTCTAATTTTCTTAATCAAAATTTAACTGCTTATTATAACTAATCATTAAATTGCTTATTATAACTAATCAAATTATGTAGTGTCACAATTCCCCAAACTGCGACTGTCATTTTGTATTGATTTTAAAGTTCTTTTTAATATTTTAATAACATCTATCATTTTATTTTTTTTTAGATAAATTGTGAGTTTTATTAGCCAAAGAGAGCAAAAGTTTGTTACAACTAATACAACACATAGAGTATCACATAAAACACAAGAATAACCTAATGAATCTTCCACCTTGTACATAACTAACTTTTTACAATATCATTTCTACTGATATCTTTGCCTCTAAGTTTAACACTAATAATTTTCCTAATAACATTTAAAACTTCATTCTCACTTTTAAACCACCTGTAATTTCTTTCCTCTCATATTCAGTAAAAATGTGCATTCCAAGCTACCTTAAGGTTAAAAGTAAGCAAAGATTTATCCTTAAAGGACCGAATAACTCATTCTACCTCTTCATCCCACCTCAATACTCCTGTGGATAGATTACACCAGGCCAAGAAAGTGCCCAAATATTTCTGGAAAATTGACATTCAAAGAAAAAATGTCCCCCGCTTTTGAAATCACCGACGCAGATACCGCAAAGCCCCTCCACTTTCATTCTCAGTCTCTCGTAAGGAGCCTTCCTAGCAACGCCATCCAACAAATTATAACATGCTTAGAGACGTGGAGAGGAAACCATAAAATCTTGTGCCAAGCAACCGTACCACCGTCACAGCAAAGGACAGACCAAATCCACTTGGCCTTCACCATCTTTGCATCAGCTGCTGCAAACAGAATCTTAGCCTCTTCCCTCAAATTATGACTTTCATTTTAAATTAGTTTTTAAACTTTTAATATTCCAATTTCATCATTAATGTATGTCCCTCGTTCTAAATTGACTAACAACTTTTGAATCATTCAATTTCATTCCAAATCAGATGAGGGTGATCCTCCCAACCCAATTTGCTTCATTCGCAAACGTCAAAATTTGAAATTCCGACCTTACTTACGGGATGTAGTGTCTTATCTCACTAGACCAAGCAATTATTGGTATCTACACATTAATTTTTCGTATAACGGTCTATACACAATCTATTTGAGAAAAATAATTTTACTTGCTTATAAATACATCCATAAAGATTGATTTATACGTTTATTTGTAGGTCGATCGATTATCAATATCTAATTTACTCAAAAAGTATATTTAAAAAAAAATAACCGTAACAAAAATAGTATATTGAAAATCTTTTACTTAACAGAAGAGTTAACACTAATATATATAAATAAAGAAATCAAATTAGATTATAATATTAATCTTATTTAATTAAGATGATACAATGATACAAGAATAGAAAGATTGAGTTAAAATTTTGATATTAGACTTTAGAGAGGAAAAGAATTAAAAAAGATATAGGCTTCCACATCTTGATCAGAAGAAAAACTTTGGCTTACCACACCTTTGTATTGAAATAGACAATTCAAACGTAAAACTAAAACTTTTTTCTTCTTTTAGGTGAGGTCTAAGTTTGTAGCCTTTGAGAAGTAGCTTTGGACTTTGCTAAAGAAAGAGCGACTATTTTCAACTTCACTAATGCAACCACAGCTGGGAAAGAAGGCGACTGGTGGCGTAATTTGTATAGTATATGAAATTGATTAATATTATTGTTGTGGTTGTGGTTAATAATAGGTAACCTAAGATATAAGGTTGAAAGAACGCATGGTGTGGCGTGTGGGGGTTACTGGTTTTGTTGTCTCGTCTGTCATTTTTTTAACTGTTAACAAATAGTAATACTGCAGCTAGCTCTCATTACCAAACCAGGATCATATTACCATATTTGATTTCATTGTTATTACCATATACATGCACATTTCGCATAAATATATATATATACAGATAGTGTAAAACCTACAGCAGATGAAAGACTGAGACTAACAATTAGTCTTTTCACTTTCAGAGAGAAACGTTGGACCTTTTCCTCCCCTTTATATTTTTTTTTGTCTCTGCAAGAACAAGAAGAAGATGGTGGGAACAACACTTTCACAACAGCTCAAGAACTACATTCAGACCATGCATGCCCAGGTTTTCTTCTTCTTTTTATAAAATAATGTTGAGTTTATATCTATATAATGAATGAGTTAAATGGTTGATTGCAGGGAATGCTAGATCACCATTTCGACCATGTAAAAGCTTTACAAAATGAAGAAAATCCTCAGTTCGTAATGGATGTGATTTCCATGTTCTCCCACGATGCCGAAGCTGCCATTGCCCACCTCACTACTCTTCTGTATGTTCTATTTTCTCATACATACATACATACATGTTGATCTTTAGCTTCCTAGGTCTGATTTATGTATATGAACAGAAACTCAGCTGTTGTGGACTTCGCCATGGCCATAACCTTGGTTCACCAGCTCAGAGGAAGTAGCTCCAGGTAATATATGATGCATTTTCAGTCGGCAAATATAACAGATTTTAGTGTGTTTGATTGCGGTTTATGTAAATTCACAGCATTGGTGGGCAGAGGATGGCCATTGCTTGTCGTGATCTACGACATGCCTGTGATAACATGGACAAGGAGAGATGCCTTCAAGTATTGGAAAGGGTGAAACAAGAGTATGAAGCTTTGAGGGAATGCCTTCATATCATATTTCAGGTATTTCTTACTCCACAACTTAATTCTTTTATTTGCATTTTATACATATCACCTGTCATCCAATATATTATGATATATGTGTAGGCCTGTAAACGAACCGAACGCACACGAACGGATGTATGTTCATGTTTGTTCATTTAATAAATAAATGAACATAAAGGAACACGAACATAAATGAACAAAATGTTTTTTGTTCATGTTCGTTTATTAAGGAATATAACTTGTTCATGTTCGTTCATTTAATAAATAAACGAACATAAACGAACACAAACATAAACGAACACGAACATAAATGAACACGAACATAAACATTGGAGACCCTACCTAGGGGTGTAAACGAGCCGAGTCGAGCTCGAGTATTGCTGAGCTCGACTCGAACTCGAAAACTTTCAAAGTCAGCTTGACTCGACTCGAAAACTCGCGAGCTTAAAATTATCAAGCTCGACTCGAACTCGAAAAGGATTGAACTCAACAAAAAATTAAGAGCTCGATTATTGGATTCTTGAGTTCAAAGTAAGCTGACTTGAGTTGCCGGATGATCACTAGTTACTTGTAAATTCGAATACTCTATTATATATGAAATAAAAGAAGATTATTTGAGTAGAAGAAACGGTGCTTAATACTTAACATCCCTTCCGGAATCCATCACCTTTGGACTTGGTTTCGAAAGCAACCGGTTTCTGGGACTCCTCTTTGCTCATCGGATAACCAGCTAGTGGCGCAGTCAAATAGGGTTCCGGCGCAATGGATGTTGACGGTAAAGAACTAAACCATGTTAATATTGTTGGATTTTCCAAATAAAATTGGGTTAATTATGGAGTTGGTCATCAGAATATCAGATTAATTAATATTTTTAAGATACTTACAAATTAGTCACCAAAATTGATTTAAGAAGATTGGCTTAAACATATAATGAATGAACATAAACGAACATAACCGAACAAAAACGAACATAACTGAACGTTCACGAACGTAAATGAACGAACGAGACCTATGTTCATGTTCGTTCATTTAATTAAACGAACACAAAATCTTGTTCATGTTCGTTCATTTAATAAATAAACGCACATAAACGAACTTCCCGCCGCACGGTTCACGAACGGTTCACTGAACGTTCAGTTCATTTACAGGCCTATATATGTGAGAGCAAATTATTATAGAGGTCATTTTTATTTTGGTTTTATTTTATTTTAATCATCAAAATTTTAAAATTTTCACAATTAATTTATTTTGTTTTGGTTTTACTTTATTTTGATCATCGAAATTAAAAGAATGCTTTGGTCACTTATGTTATCCATTGTTATAATTTGGTGATTAAATTGTTAACTATATTTACTTTGGTAACGTGGTATATTAATAGAAAAAAGATTGATTTTTAATTTGATCTCTAAATTTTAGAGAAAAATATCAACTTGACCCCATAAATTCTCACAGCCTCACTTTTAGTTCATAATATCATCACTAGCTTTGACCACCTTTTCTAACCGGTGATGACAATGAACCAAATCTATTTCTTCCACTTTTTATGATTAAAAAAAAGTGAGTAACGTGGTGTAAAACAAGCAAAACTTGCAATCTCTTTCCTCTTTTTTCAATCATTTCCATTTCTCTTCCCCCCCTGTTTCTATTTATAAAACCACGATGCACCCTCCGCAGTAGGAGGGATACTAATAAATAAAAAAATAGAGTTCAAAACAGGTTGGATCGAGTTTTTTTGGAGGATATATTCGAGTAAGGTCAAATTTAGATTTAAGGTGAAAAATAATATAATTATATATTATATATTATACTTATAGAAAATTATAATAATATATCTCTATATATTATTTTTTTTCAATTAGAATCCTTATTTTTATTTAAAAGATTAATAATTTTATAAATATACTTATTTCGGTCGGGTCAGATTCGAGTTTTATCTCAAAAAGGTGGGTCGAGTTTAGGTCGGGTGAAGTCACCCTAAACCCGAGTCGAATTTTGAGTGAAATGTATATATTTTGGGTTGGGTTGGATTGGCCGAAAACCCGACCCAACCCGATCCATCATCCCTACATCCTCTTCGGTGTTTCCCTTCAACCTTTGACCTGTACGGAAACTAAGCGGGGTAATTATGATTTTGGAATATATTTAAAAGGTTGCTTATTCACTTATACAAGTTTTTAAACAAATTAAATATCTCTGACAACATCAAAAACTTAGTGAACAATAATGAAACAACTAAACTACCTACAAATAATATTGTACTGAGTTTCAATGTTCCATTAACCATATTCAAAAAATAAACAATTTGTAGATATATTCCAAAACCAATTATCTTGTTTGGTTTTCATACAAGTCAAAGGTTGGAAGAAGCGATGCACAAGTTATAAAGGATTGTGGGTGCTCATATTTATTTCGCAAACAGATACAAAAAAGAAAAGAGGGGGAAATTATTCAAATGGCAGGAAATAGATTGCAAGTTTTGCTTGTTTTACTCTCATATAGCGTTTGTTCACTTTGTTTTATTTCGATCACCTGAAAAAAAATTGATTCAATGTCGTCTTCGATTGAAGAAGCTAGCTAAAGTAACGACGATAACAAGTGACGACAGTTTGAATAATAAGATAGGTTGAGAGAATTATGGATTAAATTTATATGTTCTCTAAATGTTTAAAGATTAAATTAATGATGTAATGACCAAATTATAATAAATGATATTGTAAGTGATTTAAATGTGACTTTTTTTCTAGTTTCAATTATCAAAATCAAACAAATTAATAATATAAATGAATTAAATGTATTTTTTAAATTTAAATTATCAGAATAAGATAAAGTCAAAATAAATTTGACCTCCGTAGTAGTTTAGGTGCATGCAATTTGGAGTGGAAGATATAGATTTGTTGGTTGAATTAGGTGGTAAGCTTTTGGACAAGTAACGAAAAACATAATTGTGAATATTACCATGTTCAAGCCGATTACTAAGATTGTACTAATCCTTAGCCTAACAATGAAGTTCCATTTATTAACAGATCGAAAGAAGCATGACGGTCGCCGATGAGACAAGACGCCATCAACCATAGAATCACTTAGAGATTAAAAACGATGTCAGGATCAAGAGATTATACAGGGTTGTGGATGCTCGTCTTCGTTTGGCAAACAGAAACCAAGTTTTGCTTGTTTTACTCTCATGCCATGTTGATTTTTTTTGTCTTATTTTGATCTCTGAAAAAGGAAAAATAAAACTTTGATGAGTGTCATCAACAATTAAAAAAATTGTTAAACATTTACAGTAAACAACGACAGTGAGTTGATAACCAAAATTTATAATATGAATGACTAAAATAATATTTTTTTTTTAATTTTGATAACCAAAATCAGATAATCTATCAAATTAATACATAGATTATTGAAATATAATTTTTTTAATTCCGATAACCAAAATAAAGATAACCTCAATAGCAGTTTGCCTGTATGTAACTTGGAGACAATATGTGGCGTCGAGGATTTAGATTTGTTGATTCAACTAGGTGTAAGCTTTGGACGAGAAATGAAGAACATAATTGTGCATGTTCAAGCCGGTTACTAAGGCTATACTCATCCTAACAATGAAGTTGTATTTATTAACATAAGGAAAGAAGCATCACGTTCGCCGATGAGTCAATACACCATCAACCATAGAAAAATCCACTTGGAGGTAAAAAAATGTTATATGTTTGAGACAGCTTTAGCAACTTCAATGTTTCATGCTGTGTCAATGGAACTTGTTTTCTGTGTCGTCTTTTCATGTGCCTGATTGGTGTCCCATAATAATTTCAAACAAGGGTATGAAAGCATAGCATTTAGATATACAAAACAGCTTTAATTTGATCCAAGGTCAAACATCGGCTTGAGGTTCGTGCATGTTAAACTGTTTCATAGCTCTAAGAGCAATGGAGACATCATTTTGATGATGCAGAATAAGAATCAAAGGCGGTTCTCGAAAACAATTTGGACCACAAAAAACTTGTGCTCAATCAATGATTGAACAACTACATTAACCTAGGAAGCACAAGAGCTGCAGCATATCATCCAACAGATCTAACATGAATAAGCATCTGCACATTCTCTACCATATGCTTGTATAATAAACCTAACAGAAGCAATAAGTCGATGACTTGTGCTTATGGATCGGATCAATGAAACTGAACAATCATCCATGAGAAACTCAACAATTCCCAACAGGATTCAGCAGCTAATCCAGACATGAAATATCCCAAGCATAGAAATACCATAGATTCATTCGGCCGCCAGCTATGAGTAGACACCACATTATCTATAGCTAAACAAAACAAGAATTATGAATCAATGAGCCAAGTGAACCATGTAATCCGGAAATCCATAATTATAAAGGGAATATTAATGTCATTTTCTCAAACAAAACTGAATGATCCGAGAATAGCTAAAAAACATGAAAAAAGAAACATTCAAAACTCGAATTAAGTCTACGTCGTTGCAAGGAACCCTCGAGCATTGAGCTTGGCTTCACCCGCTTAGTCGAACAGGCTGAAACCCATATCCTGCATTGAAATGAAAATGCATTAGTAAAGAACAAACCAAATAAGAATCAACACAAGTCCATTACTGCGTGAAAAAAGCAATTACATCATCTGATTCTTCCTTCTCCTCGACCTTCTCCTCCTTCTTGGCCTCAGCAGCAGGCGCAGCTGCACCACCACCGCCAGCAACAGGAGCGGCAGAGGCAACAGCACCACCGCCAGAAGGAACTGAAGCCAACTTCTCCCTTCCACTAGCAATTAGCTCGGTGATGTCTTTTCCTTTAACTTCAGACAATAGCAACTCTATCCTATCATCTTCAGCCTCGGCCCCAACTACAACATTCAATAAATAAACAAAATAAAAATCATTCCTTCGACATTATAAAGCTAAAGAAATTTCGAATAACGTAATCCCCAATTTTACTATTTTTTCTACAATGTTCAAAATAAATGGAGATAATACAAACTGTAAAAGTGTAAATCAGGCTAAAAAAAGAGTGAGATAAAGACCTGATGCGAGAATAGCCTTCAAGTCTTTGGCGGAAGGGGAAACATTTCCCCCCAATACGGCGAGCAAATAGGCGGCGACAACCTTCATTTTTACTTGATGAAAAAATGGAGGGAAGGGAAGCCGAAAAGGAGCGGCGGAGGGGTAATGAAGGAGTGAAAAGGATGGAAGTGAGTGGGATGTTTGGTAGGGTTTTTATTTTTGGTGTGATTGAATTTCCGAGCCCAACTTCCTATCGTAAATGGGTTCAAGCCCATATCTTCACTGAAGCCGATTTATCTACGTTTCAACTGAATCTGTGATGTAATGATAAAAAATAATTTATATTTGAAATGAAATTTTGGTTCATATTAAATTTTAAGTTTGATCCAGAGAGTGAATACTTGATATTAAATTTTGGATTGCTTGTTAATAGTTTCATTGTGGCAATCAAACTTAAGAGCATTCAAAGGGACTACATTGATGGATGTGGTTCTTGTTTTATGACGCTTTGATTAGAAAGTTTGTATACGGTGATCCAGCAATCGAGTGTTTCACTGTTCAGCACCAATGAGAAGAGGGGATCCCATTAAGAAGAAGATATTTTCCACACCGTTAAATTGTGTTGTTGGTGTATTATAAATGAATGGTGTAACCATAAACTAGTTGCTTTTGTTATCCTTTTTAAACAAAAATTATGATAATTCATTCACTTCTCTTATAAAAAAATATCTATTTATTTTATAAAAACAAATCATTTTAGAAACTAATGTCTTTTTAAAGAGAGATGAATGACTGATTTTAAAGCATTAAACCAGTAACATCTCTTAAGAATCGAACTTGAACAAAGTCGGGTGTTTCACACGTTCACTCTTAATAATTACATTCCTGCAGCCGAAGCTCGGCATTAATAGCTCAGCATTTACCGATTCAACCCAACAATTCATTATTCCCATTTTCATGAACTATAGGATTTCTTGATTGAGTTCAGTGGCAATTAGTTAAATTAAATAAAACGAAGTTATAAAATTGTTTTAATTCAGATCTAATAGTTTGTCCAAATATACGTTGATAACGAATCGTATCTTACTTTATAATAACTGATTACGAAAGGGGACCATACAATCATCCATTAACTCAAGCCTAGAATATGAAAATTTGGTGTTCCAGTGTTATTCAGCCCCCACATTATCTGTGGCTAAAACACGATAGGTATTAAGAATCACTGAACCAAACTCAAGCATTGACTACTGGTAAACCAAAAATCCATAATTAGAACCGAAATGTTAATGTCATTAACTACGCTTTCTCAAACAACACTTGAGGATCCAAGAGGGAGCTAAAACCATGTTCAACTACATAGCCAACAACGTATTAAAAAAAGGGAGCCTTCAACACTCGAACAAAGTGTACCGACTATATGAAAATCTGTCGATATTTGCTTTGCCTGCTTAGTCGAAGAGACTGAAACCCATATCCTGCATACAAACAAAATTATATTAGTGACGAACACACCAAATAAGAACCAATACAAGACAATTTACTGCGTGAACAAGTAATTACATCGTCAGATTCTTCTTTCTCCTCCACCTTCTCCTCTTTCTTGGCCTCAGCAGCAGGAGCAGCGCCGCCGCCATCTGTAGGAGCAGCAACGGACACAGCACCACCGCCGGAAGGAACTGAAGCCAACTTCTCCCTTCCACAAGCAATTAGCTCGGTGATATCTTTACCTTTAACTTCAGCCAATAGCAACTCTATCCTATCATCATCAGCTTCAGCTCCAACTACAACATTCCAACAACAACAAAAAATCATTCCTTTGACGTTGTAATGCTAAAGAAATCGTCAATAACTTAATTCCAAATTCACCATTTTTCCTACTATCAGGTAATGTTTACGAGCCTAAATTAATATGAACAAATACAATGGAAAATAAGCATAAATCATACAAAATTTCATTACCGAGAAGGGTTCAAAGACAAAGTAAATCGAGTGAGAAAATTACCTGATCCGAGAATATTCTTCAACTCATCGGCTGAAGGGGAAGCGTTTCCTCCCAGTACGGCGAGCAAGTATGCGGCGACCACCTTCATTTTTTGCTTGATAACAGAGTGGAAACCGAGTCGCGGAAGTAGAAGAGGAATCTAGGGTTTTTCAGAAAAATGATGAAAGAGAGTTGCTGTTGGTAGGGTATTTTATTTTGGTGAGTGCCGCCTGATTTAATCTTGACCGTTGACCTCAAATGGAAGGCCGTGGATTATGGTTTGATGGACGGTTTTTGAGCCATCTTCTAGCGTAAACGGGCTCAAGCCCATAACCTTGAAAATATTATTTTTAAAAAATAAAGTTAAATCATTCGGATCATACATAATACCTCCAGTCGTGATGTAAAACCTTCGAACTATCAATAGGGATATTTTTTTTAATACGATGATAAATCTTTCAAGTTGTCAATAAGACTTCACTGACGAGTTGAAGAATAAATTTGATAAGAAGAAAAGATATTTTAAATAAAGATTACTCAGCATCTAACTCGTCAAATTTTCAAGTATAATAAAAAGGTTTCCAGATTATACATAGACTTATGGGTCATCTCTAAAACCTCCAGACATAATATTAAATTTCTAAAACATGTTTTCATATTTACATTCACCATAATTTGGAGAGGAAATTTATTTTTCTATAGCGTTATTATTTCAAGTTGAATGAACCGTTTATTTCCTAGAAAATCCCATTTATCTCATGTTACAGGAATCATCTTATTTTTCCAATAGTCTCATTGCCTAGAAATTGAATTGGGAGAAAGATGAACATATGCTATGAATCATACATTCATTTGACGAAAAAAAACATAATAGACAAACTTAAAAATAAAATAAAATGCTAAACACTTGGGTTTAATCTATTGAATTGGCGGGTCTAATTATTATTATTTGTTGTTTCTTACTAAGTGAGGGGTCGATTAATTATTTTTTATATCAAAAAAAGAAGAAAATAAACAGTTTGGTTTGAAATCATGCCTATATTTTTTTTAGGTTTATTAGTTCGTATCATAATGAAAAAGGGGAAAAATTGTCAAAACATTGGAAAATATAGTTTATTGAAACCAGCTGTATCTTACCACGCTAGCATGTACCGACGATGTACGTGGAAAAACCAGCGAGCAGGGGGAAAATGGGGACATAACCTATTGACCATTATTATGCATTTAAAACACGTGGTTAACATGTTAAAACCAACACATACAACATGACAAAATCCTCATGCTTAAAGTCCGCAACAAAAGGACAGCCTCAAAGTTGGCTTTAAACCATGCATCAATCTAAATACTTAATTTCAGTATTTATGTCGAATTTCGTTAATGAGTGATTTAGAAGTATTAGTTAATAGCTTAGTTATAGATATATATTAATAATATTATACTAAATATAATATTTATTCATATTTCTTAAAAAAAGTAATACCTTAATATGAAAGTATTAAACTTATCGACCAGTGTTTGATCATGCACAAATCGTTATGGATGTAAATGCCAGGGATAGATAGATATATAGACACGATGTGGATAAAAAAGTAATTTTAATGAGTTGTAATAAAATTAATTATTATTGCATTGACATATTTCAGTAATATATTGGTGTAGATTGCCATCCATCCATCGTTGATAATGATGTTTATTATTACCTTTTAATTTATAAAATAATTAAAAGATAAGATCACGCATCTATACGTTTGATATTATCCTTTTGTTAGTCAAAAAAAATATTATTCTTTTGTTATTTTAATCTCGATGAGATTCAAACGTTATTTGCTTTGGTCAAAGTAAGATTTGGATTTCCAGATATTGAACAGAAAAATATTGAAAAATACTCTTAAAGCACCGTCATGCAATAACCAAAAATAAAGTAAAGGAAATCATTCAAGGGAAAAATAATAATTTGATCGACGTTTATGTTGAAAAAAATATCATCAAAGCACCGTCAAGGAAATAATCTAGTTGACTTTTAAAATATTAATATTATATTGATCAAATTTCTTTATTAATCTAATCATGATATTTTTTTTAAATAGTTTTGAGTATTATAAGATAATATTTTTAGGATAAAATGTATGTATCAGATTCAAAGAAAACAAAGCATCAATCTGCAACAATCAACAAATCAACAAAACCAAAACTTATAATCTCTCACTATACAGTCCCTGATATAGTCTTCCTAGTTAGTTTCACCTGCACAATTGTCTCAACACAACCAAGTAATTCCTCGTCATTTCTATACACATTTCTAAAAAAAAATCTATTTTTCTCTTTCCAAATAAAATATATACAAACATTCCAAATACTCTTAAACATAAAAGAAGAAATGAAATTACCATTCCCTTTTGAAAGTGTCCACCACTACAAATCATTTTTCCAACCAAGTCTCCCACGCCGCACTCCCCACCAAGCCAAAATAATCTTCCAAATACTTACCGAAAAATCACATTCAAAAGAACATGTGATTTCTAGACTCCTCTGTCGCTCCATATAAAATGCAAACACCATCCAACATTATACCCATGCGCCGAAATTTGTCTTTAGATTATAAGATAATATTTGTTAAAAAGTATTTCTTAACTATTAATAACCTACATTTTGTGAACGCGGCTTCTCAAACCTAAGATTTATAATAAATAACATAAAACATATTCAAAATATACATATCAAACTCTAAACACATGATATTTACAATATAAATCAATTAAATCAATGTTAATAAAATTTTAAAAGATTGTTTTTTTCTCACATTACATTTAATGTTAAATTTGACAATATAATATTTATTTTTGTAAGCATTTAATTAGAACATAGAAATCTTGGGTGATCCCAATTAGAGGTGTAAACGAGCCGAGTCGAGTTCGAGTATTGCTGAGCTCGACTAGACTCGAAAACTATGAAATGGAGCTCGACTCGAAAACTCGTGAGCTTAAAATTTTCAAGCTTGACTAGAACTCGAAATCCTGAACTAAAGCTCGTGAGTAGCTCGAAAAGGCTTGAAATGAAAAAAAATCTTAAACTCGATTGAATCCTCAAACTCGAACTTGAACCTTAAATATATGAAAATCATATTGTATTTTTAAAAAATAATACATAAATGTTAATATTATTAATAATTTATTTTTAAAAAAATAAAATCTTAATATATTATATTTTCAAGTTGCTCACGAGCTTTTCGAGTCGAATATCAAGTAACTCGTTACGGCTCGTTAAGAACTCAAGTCGAGCCCATTCGATCCGAGTATTTATCAAGCCTTGATCGAGTCGATCTCGAATAGCTCACGATCTCATTTACAGCCTTAATCCCAATAGCTAAAAGATAAATTTAAGTCCTTTCAGAAAAAAAATATAAAATATATATGATAGTTTGAGGATATTTAACGTAATTAACATTATATATATCTACATGAGATTTGAAGGATTTGTATTATAATATTTAAAATATTTTATAAAATTTAAATGAAACATAATATAATATAATATAATTGCGTAACAATTGAAAACAAATGAAGTTGATTTCTGAATTGACCAGTTTCTGTCGTTATACTTTTGAACTTGAAACCCCAAAATCAAATTAATACCAAGTAAAGCAGAGCAACCCCACGTCAAGAAATTCAGAGCAGGAAGAAAATAAATGGTATTCAATTCAATGGGTTGGAAAATGGTAGGCAGAGCAAGCACGTGGTTGAATGGCCGCAAACTATACAAGAAAATGAAGTCCTAGAAAATAAAAAAGGAGACTTTTAAAATCATGAAAGTGACCTACTCCATTAAAGACCGTCGTTTCAATTTGCGCACGCGTTATTCATGCCGTAATTCAATAATCTTTTCTCGCGTGCCAAACAGTAAATATATTACCCACTTCAAGTATTATTCTATGCTCATTTGATTGACATTTTTTTGCTCCCTCTTTTCCAATATTATATAAACCCACCATTTCCCTTTGGTTTCTTGAGCTTTTTGTGTTGAAATCTATGGATTCAGATTCTTCTTCCTTGAGATTTTGCTCCATTTCCAGTGTTTTCTTCTTCATGTTCTTCTCTTTCACTCTCTTGTTTTCTTTGTTTTCTTTGTTGATATTCGTTCTAAGGTTGAAGCTATGGTGTAAATGCGAAATCTGCCAAGCTTTTCTCAATTCCAGTTGGACCAAAGATTTCGATAATCTCTGTGATTGGTACACTCACCTTCTTAAGAAATCTCCTACCGGATCGATCCGTATCCATGTCCTAGGCAACATCATCACAGCCGACCCCGAAAACGTGGAACACATCCTCAAAACCCGATTCGAAAACTACCCGAAAGGGAAACCTTTCTCGGCTCTTCTCGGTGATCTACTCGGTCAAGGTATTTTCAACGTCGATGGCGATTCATGGAAGTTCCAAAGGAAAATGGCTAGCCTCGAGCTCGGGAGTGTGTCTATAAGAATGCACGCTTTCAACATAGTCGAATCGGAGATTCGATCCAGGCTTATCCCGCTTTTATCGTCGGTCTCTGGTAAACAACGAGTGTTAGATTTACAAGACATGTTTAGAAGGTTTTCGTTCGATAGTATCTGCAAGTTTTCCTTCGGGTTCGATCCTGGTTGCCTCGAGTTGTCGTTGCCGGTCTCGAAATTCGCCGACGCTTTCGATTTAGCATCGAAACTGTCGGCTCAAAGAGGGGTAGTGCCTTCGTCTTTGATATGGAAAGCCAAGAGGGTGTTGAATTTGGGGTCTGAAAAGAAGCTTAAACAAGCTATAAAAATGGTGGATGAATTCGCTCAACGTATGATCAACCAACGCCGCGAAATGGGATTTTCGGACAAGCACGATCTTCTGTCGAGATTCATGGGAACAATCGATGACGAAAAGTATCTTAGAGACATTGTCGTGAGCTTCCTCTTAGCTGGTCGTGACACGGTTGCCTCGGGGTTGACCAGTTTCTTCTGGTTGTTATCTCAGCATCCCAAAGTCGAGTCATCCATTCGAGAAGAGCTCGAAAGTGTCATGTCAGGGTCATCGTCGTCGAGCGACGACCGACAATTCGTAACGTTCGATCAAATGCGGGAAATGCATTATTTGCACGCAGCGGTATGTGAAAGCTTGCGGCTGTTTCCACCGGTCCAATTAGATTCGAAGTTCTCTCAGGACGACGACGTTTTGCCGGATTATACCTTTGTGACGAAAGGCACTAGAGTGACCTACCATCCATATGCAATGGGTCGGTTGGAACGGATTTGGGGCTCCGATTGCCTTGAATTCAACCCGGAGAGATGGTTGAAAAATGGTAGATATGTCCCTGAAAATCCGTACAAATACCCGGTTTTCCAAGCTGGGTTAAGGGTTTGTTTAGGTAAGGAAATGGCACTAGTGGAGATGAAATGTGTAGTTCTAGCCATAATCAGCCGGTTCAACATTCGGGTTGCCGATCCGAATCAAAAGCCGGTGTTTACCCCGGCTCTCACCGCCACCGTAAGAGGCGGCTTACCCATTTTAGTCCATGAAAGGAGAGCATAATTTTATACATGTACACAATTGTTGGAATAGTTTATTCCAAAGGTGTAGATGTTTGATTCTAGTTGACTCGTTAAATTTAAAACTCGGCCCGGTTCACTAATTTTATAGGTTTAGAATCCAAAATCCTTTTTCATTCGTGGAATATAAAAGTGATATGTTTCTTGCATATTTCGATAAATGTATTTAAACCCGACATTTATACAAATATTTCAATTTAAAATATTACGACAACAAATTGAATTAAAATTCCATCTACTAATATTAACAAATTCATAAAAAATAATAAATAATTACGTAACAAAGAGTAACGTGGGAAACCTTTCATGATTTAAGGCACTTTCTTTACTTTTTTTCAGAATATTTTATACTGATGTATTCCAAATTTGATTTTTCCAAAGTCATAGTGGCTGTATTCTTTTTTGGCACAGTTTTCTTTATTCCCCCCCCCGAAATAGTTAGTACCTTGATTTATTATTGTATGCCAAAACCAGGTCACAAGTGACAACTTCTTCTTTTTTAATAATTTAATATTGTCACAATTTTGTGTAATTATGTTCTGTCCTTTAATCGATAAGTAATTTTAATAATTAATAATGTCTAACTAAATTAATTTAGAATTATTAAAAAAAACTCTTAATCGATGCCAAAGGGAAAAAGGTTAAATTCAAATAAATTAATGTACGCAAAAAGTCATGATTATATTTTTTACGAAATCATTATTATTTAAATAATCACGAGGCATATGGGAATATGAAAATCATAGAACGGCGTGCATGGTAGCAGGGAATTTAGATTCTTGGAGTTGGCTGGTAGGATTCATGCATGTGAATATATATATATAATTGATACTGTTATTTTTAACTGGACTAAAATATTTAAAAGATACTATTTGATATTATATATATTTAAATACATGTTTTAAATAAAACATAAAGATGGTAAAATCATTTAAAAATATATAAACTCTATCTTTAGTCATTAAATTTCAGATTTTGCATGTATTTTAATATTGAATTTTTAAAAAAATTAGTGTAACTATTGAATTTTATTTTATGGTCTAATTAAAATATTAGATCATTAAATTCAAATGATACAATGGCATGACAATGTTGGTATATTTGTTAAAGTTAAAATATTTTTCTATATCATCTTCTTATTCATCAAAACTAAAAAAGAAATTATCTATTTTTCGTCGTCATCGAAAACCGTTATTCTTTAGCATCTTTTATGACTACCCTAAATACTGATGAATTCATTTTATTATCTTCTACTACTTTATCATTTTATATATTCTCAAAATCACTTTAAATTTTACAAAAGTATAAATACACAAATAAATTATTTTTTGGATTTAGGTCCTTTCTTGTATTGGAGAAGTCTAGGGTGTACAAAAATTTGAGCAGTGAGAAGCATTTTTCCGAGAAAATGAATATTACACATTGAGATTCGTCTCACTAGACATCTGTCAAAGGAGATCGATTATTTAAAACGTTGAATTTTATATTGATTTTTGTGTGAGTTTCAAAAAAAAACTTTATATCAATCGTATCATAAATAAGTATTGATAATGAGTGGTGTGGCAAAAAAAAATGATTATCGATTGAGTTAACATATTTTGAAGAAAAAAACATGAGAAAATTGATCACATCGTTAAGTTGTTAATGATTTGATAGTCTTAAACCAAAATTTAATATTTATAATGAAACATAGTATAATTTATTATTAAAATTGATATAAAATATAAAGTTTAATGATTATTACTGTAACTAAAAAAGATAAAGTGAATCTCATCTGATAATCTTTGGAACGCATTAGTTTACACGTCTCGTGTATTACTTAATTTCGATAATATGGTTGGAGCAACTACCTTCAGTATTGATTAATCTATATCTTTAACTATTAATAAATCCTCAGATTCTTATGGTAAAAACACATGCAACGTTGCATCGGCAAGGCATTAATTAAAAACTTTAATATTTAATAAACGTTTTCTTACCCTAAAACTATAAAATATGCACTGCCTACAAAAACAACAGGCGCAGAAAGTGTTTGTTTCTTTTGTTATTTTTATTACATGCATCAGCAGTGATGAAGCAAAACTACTTATGATTCTAATTAAGGTGATTGTCGGTTTAGTATTATCTTTTGTCTTTCTCTTCGGCGGTATCTGTTGCTTTTCATTTTTACCTTACGTGGATTCCCATTATGCAAACCATCATATCTATTTATGTTACTTTTTTGTCTTGTTAATTAATTAAATTATTTAAAAGGCAAATATTTAAATTTTATATATTTTAAATGTTTAATGTATTTATTTAAGTACTAGACATTTTATTTCGTTGAAGGATTGCTCTATTTGGCAATTTCGGACTAAGGTTAATCATAGTTAGGTTTGGAAACAAAAACTAATAAAACTTAGATATGATTTAGTTCTTGTTGGTAATTTGCAGGAGAAGTATAAAGCAGACAACTTTGAAAGTTGTTTGGACCCAAACATAATAGGGTGTTTTGGTTTAAAGTTATTTGGGGAGGACTGACCATCCTTCGACGCTCATTTATTTCTTGGTTGGTGGTGTTGAATAGACTACGAACAAAGAACAGGATGATGCGATGGGACTGTCAAGTGGATCCTCGATGTTTGTTATGTGGTGATACTTTAGAGACACATGATCACTTATTCGTTGAGTGCGGTTATACTTGTCAAGTTTAGCAGTTGGTCTTGCGGGCATGTGGGTCTTTACAATTGCTAGTTGGATTTGATTAATTGGTTGCAAGAAATTGACAAGGAAAAGTCGTTGCATGCTACTATTGTCCGAATAGCTTGGTCTGCTTTTAATTGTTACATTTGGCAAGAAATGAATAGTAGACAAAATGGAAAGGGGATTCATCAGGTTGTTGTTATTTTTTCTAAATCAAAGAAGATACTCGTATAAGGTTGGTTGGAAATAAAAAGATTTCTAGTCTTAGTTCTGTATTAACTACTGAACGGGGCTTTTAGTGAGAGCTCTTTTTGGTGTTGATTTGTATGATGATTTTTTAATATAGTTATTTGTTGATTGTGTTGTTTATTTGACTTTAAGTTTTTTTTGGATGAATAAACAAGATATATATATATATATATAGACATTTTATTTTGCTTTTTTTTTTATATTATTTGTTATGTTTGTTTACAAAAATATTTTTTTCGATCTGGGTTTTATATCAATTAGTTCATCACAATTTTTTTTTATCTAAATACAAATTAAATTAATTTTTGAGAATTGAGCTTTTAATTTTATTTTCAAACAGTTATATTTTCGAAATGTGAGTGATTATGCATGTTCTATATTTTCAATTTCTAAAAATATAATTAATTCTCTAAAAAGAATAAGAATAAAGGGATTTATATATAGATTAAATTTGATTCTGATAATGAACAAGATAGTGACTTGAACATAGGCTGAAGAGATACCAAGGTGATAAAGAGTGCATTTTTGGTTTGAAAAGCATGAAACTTCACATGTTTCCACTAATGTAGAACGCAACAAGTCGGACGCAAATATAATAATAGAAGATTTTAATAAAAGAAGTAAACATGGTTTGATTTTTTTGAATCTCTTTCATAATAAAACTATTAAAATGTAAAACTACATTTTGCAATTTAATTAAATAAGTCAGATTGGACCGACTCTTCTACTTACTAGCTACTTACTTTTTTTTTTGATAAATTAAATTCTTTTATTACCCAAAAAAGCAGAGTTTGCTACAAAATCAAATAAATGTGATCAGATCCTATCCGGTCCAAAAAAAATAATCAAAAACCAATCCAATAAAATGATTATCGAAAAAAACCGAAACCGATAAAAATCGAACTAAACCGATAGTCGGCGTGCCCCCGCCTTAACTGAAGACTTCTTCTGTGATAGCTCAGGATGAATAAGCCGTGCCCACGCCTTAACTGAATACTTCTTCTGTGATAGCTCAGGATGAATAAGCTGTGCCCATGCCTTATGCGAGAACCACCTCTTCTGGTATTGCCCATGAATTACAAAGAGTAAAATTAAGACTTTCTAGTCTGTTGATATTTTTTCCTCTTAATTGTATACCTATGATATCCTTAATAATATTAAGAAGATCTTGAGAAGGGATTTACCTTTCCAAACACCACTTGCCCATGTTACCATATCATCCTAAGACGATGTAGTTCTTCTCAACCCATTAAGAAGCATTATCGAATCCCATAAAGAAACAACCAATGGGCATTGGGAGAATAAATGATCTCTTGTTTCCATTGCAGTGCTGCAGAAAACACAATTACCTTCAGTAATGATTCCATTCTTTGAAGTCTGTCTCTTGTAGGAATTCTGTCCAAGTGTGCCATCCAAGCTATCAAGCTATGTTTTGGAATGTGTAGAGGGAACCAAATAAATCCGTGCCATGAAACTTTTTCCCTTTTCTTCTGAATCTCTCCCAGATGTCTCTAATCTGTGTAACACCAGAAGAAATTAAAGGATGAGCTTCAGTCCGTAATTTTAATAATCTGTTAAAGCACCATCTTGCATTAGGTCGAATTTGCATGTTCCAAAAGCTTGTCTCCTTCAAAACATATTCTTTTGGCCAAGCAACCCATAATGAGCCTTCACCGAGAGAATTTTCCTAATGAGGTGCAAAAGACAAGAATTGTTCCAGGATTTAGTATTCTTTGATCCTAGCCCTCCTTCTAACTTTGATCGACAAACTTTCTCCCAACTTATACTAGCTACTTACTATTGGTTTCTAAATTATTGACAATTTTCCGAAATTTGTCAAATATGGCACAATTTACATATTTTCCACACGATTTTTTCCCACAGTTACCAACCCTTTTTTCTTTTCTATTTTTAGAAAAGAAAAGGGTAAATTACGGTACACGTCACTCAATTTTTAGTAAAGACTACAAATGTGTTACAATATTTCAAAGAGTTACAACCATGTCAGTCATTGCCTGTGTAATTTTTACTTCGGGTTTCCAGGTATACCTTTCCTGTATGTGAAAATATACTGAACTCGAGTCTTGATCTTTATGGTGATACTCATGCAGCCTATCACCTAAACTGCACCCAGTTTATTCGATCAATAAGTTGTTTATGCGGATGGAGACACATTTTTTTAGAAAAGAAAGGGTAAATTACGGTACACGTCACTCAATTTTTAGTAAAGACTACAAAAGTGTTACAATATTTCAAAGAGTTACAACCATGTCAGTCATTGCCTGTGTAATTTTTACTTCGGGTTTCCAGGTATACCTTTCCTGTATGTGAAAATATACTGAACTCGAGTCTTGATCTTTATGGTGATACTCATGCAGCCTATCACCTAAACTGCACCCAGTTTATTCGATCAATAAGTTGTTTATGCGGATGGAGACACATTTTATGTTTATGCTGTCAAAATTTATGTGTCATTTTTCTAATTTCCTAATACACAAATTTGTTGGGTTTTTAAAAAACATTCTTCTCGGTGTTAATATCATCAAATCTGCAAATGGTTTTTAAGATTCCATACAAACTTATACCTTTGAATGCCCAAATCTTTCACGGTTCCAGTGATCCCCTCGTCCGAAGCTCTTTCTACTCTCAGTTCATTCAATATCTGTTCAATAATTTTCTTATTGACATTAACATCTAAGCCTGAGACACCATTAAGTGTTCCCCATTGCTGTAAGCATTGTCAAGTATGACTCCTGTCCTTTACCCTGACACACATAAGCTGCAAAACCAACCTTGTATCATTAATTACTCTACCAAAAACATTAATTTCATTCATTAATTACATAAATCTGTTCACCGATTTTATAAAACAAACTTCATATTTTTATGCCCATATTTCTCATTTTGTCTTCTACGTCCAATGATCATTCCGGCCCAAAAGACAACTTATAATCCAATATTTGCCCCGGACATTTTAACTATTCTCAGTTGTTAGAGATTATGATCTGAATTTCATTTCGTTTAGTTTGAAAAATTGGTACACGAACCAATTGATTTTAGTGATTAAGAGATGGTTGCTATCCTTAGATGTCTCGGGTTCGAGCACAACGTATGCATGTGTATTTGATTATTCATGGTCAAATCATTGACAATTTTTCGAACATATACTACATTGCAATCACTTCATACTAATAAAAAAATATAACACAATTCATTTAATAAAGAAATACAATTGAGAAAGAAATTTAAGGTATAAAATATAAGATTCTAATTAACAATAATTTATTAATCTTTTTAATTAAATTATATAAAAGGATTTATTAAATCATTTTAAAAAGTTTGAAATTAACTATTGCCGATTACCTAACACACTCAACCAAGTCACGGATGGTTGTTTGAAAATGTTGGTGATGATGGTCGGTCGCGTGATGAGTGTAGGCATAAGCCACTTGAACTTTCCCACCAGCATTTATCCCATCGCCTACGTACATACATGTGTTTGGCCATAAAATCTACAGCATATTTCATGTTTACACATAAAACTACTTCCAATATTTAAAAAATGGGGTCAATAATTTCTAAGAATATATCATTAAAAGTTTTTAATTAACATCTTTTTTCTCTTTTAAATTGTGATTTCATTATCCATTAGAAGTAAAGTTCCCCGTTTCTCCTCCCTAATGTAATTGTTCAAACACAAACAAAAAAAGAATGGCTTGACGTAGCATGATTAATGGAAGAAAAAAATTAAGAGTTAAATTATGGATGGTCACGAGTCAAGTTAGGTTTTTGAACTATTTGAACACGACATGAATATAATATTCTTTCATCAGTCATTCAAATTGAGTTTAAATTTTTTTTACATATCCAATTTAAAGGGTAAAACTTATACTTGACTCAACACAAATATATGTATATATAATTCTCATTTTTATTAGGTAAAATAGAGATATGATTGGAAAAATATATAAAGGGAAGAGTATTATAATAATTATCTCCAATCATATAAATATCAATTATTCTAATCTATTCATGTAACATTTATACAATTTAATTCCTATAAATATTAATTATATTATTATTTATGAGTAAGATTAGGAATTTTCACCCTAAACTCGACATAATCCAACCTTATTCTTAAAAAATAAACTCGATCCAACTTGAATTTGATTTCTTTTATAAAAAAAACTTAATCTTATAGGATCGATTAGAACCTATCAGGTACAGATCTAATACTCACTCTAAATTAAATTATAAAAGGATTAAATATTAAAATAATAACAAAGTAAAAGAGACCAAAATACCATTTAAACGTTTAAAAAAAATTACTTTAGTTTTACCATTGAATGTCCAAATCTTTCATGGCTTGAGTAATTTCCTCGTCCGAAGCTACTTGAAATCTCAGTTCATTGAATTATTGTTGAATAATTTTATTGTCAAACATTAATAACTAAGCCTGACACACAATTTAGTGCCTCACCCATGCTGTAAGGATTTTCATGTGTAGGTCCTGTCCTTTCCCTGACATATAAGCTGCAAAACCAACCATACAACATTAATTACATGAACAAAAATATTAAATTTAATCCTCAATTACATAAAAATGGATACAGGTCGGAGGGAAATGGATTTAGCAGTAAAAGGGTTGCAACGAACAAGACTTCACTCATGTTTACAGCTCTTCTTCACTCAGAAGGTACTATTGAAGCTTGACAATATTACCCTACTACATGGTGGTGTAAAAGTCCAATAATTCGAATTAGGTTAGATTTAAACCTTAATTAAATATTAGATTCTGAACTTGATTTATATTTTAAACGTTTTTTTTAATGTGTGAACCCATTTTCGAACACAATATCTTTAGATCTTCTATATTTTACATGTATATTATTCGTAAACATAATATATATTTGAAACACATTGTGAAATGAATACACCTGGGCAATATATATTCTTCAAACCTTTGTTGACAGCTATATATAATTTCATGCTGTCATGAGCAACAATGAAACTTAAAATCAAACCATTAATTCATATTAAGGAAATACAACGCTATGTATAATTAAATATTGATTCGGCTCTCGTATTTTTCATTTGAAAATGTATTTTACTATGCCGGGAATATGAATGTTCATAAAGTACTCGTTCCAGTCAATGCATTTGGGGTCGAAGTAGAACATATCGTTCTCCTCCAGGCTCGATCTCGCCGCCATTCGTAACTTCTCGGTGTTTATATCATCGAATCTGCAGTTGGTTTTCTCGGTTTTTAAGATTCGATAATGTAATTAAATTTATAGATTCGATGTAAAAAAATTCGAAGAATATATATACGTACATCGCATCGAAAAACAAGTATGGTCTGTAAATGTCTACCATTCGCGTCACGAAGTTGACCTTCCTACTGAGATCTCCGTACAAACCTTGAAAGAAATGGCAAAATGCTGTGTTTGCCAATTCCAATCCCTGCGAAACACGCACAAGAGAAGATGATGACGACGATAGTATCTGTTGTGTTTGTAATTGCGATAAATATTGCAGACCTTCAAAGGAAGCAAGTATCGAAGAGCCATGTATCGGTGGAAGCTGGCCATGCTATCCATGACTCGAATCTTGCCGACAATAACAGGCTTTCCGTCTTTGTTGATCCATGGTTTCTTGGAGAAGTAACGGAAGCCTAACTCTTGGAGATCGCCGTATTTGACTGGGTTTCTCATTGATGAACCCACTTGATAGATAGTCTCCGATGGTTGGTTCGATGCATGAGCTATCATGGCTACAATCATGGCATTCACCACCATATCGGCTGGTATCTGATTTATCAAATATTAATCCTTAAAATATAATTATATGAAACAATTAAGTTAATTCTAGAATTGTTTTGAACTCACTAGGTCAACAACCGAGTCCAAATCACCGAGGAAGAATGTCAACTTTCCCTTAGCATAACCGATTGCAAGACTATCAATCGTTCTGTTTATAATCGGGAAAAAGTTTACTGTCTAGAGTTTAGGACGATAATTATTGAGAGTATTTTAAGAGAAAATAAAATAAAATTAAGGGTATTAGGTTACCTAACACCCTCAGCCCAACCACGGAATGGCTCTTTGAAAGTGCTGGTGATGATGGTGGGTCGTATGATGACGATAGGCAAAGTCCCCTTCACCTCTCCGACCAGCATTTCTCCCATTGCCTTGGTAAATACGTATGTGTTCGGCCATCCATACAATCTTGCCCTGAATTAAGTATTCATAGAAAGAAAAATCTTCAATATATGAGTCTGAATTTAATCATTCGAATTATATTACCGACATAAACTTATACCTTTGAATGCCCAAATCTTTCATGGCTCGAGTAATCTCCTTGTCCGAAGCTCCTTGAACTCTCAGTTCATTCAATTTCTGTTCAATAATTTTCTTCTCCACATTAATATCTAAGCCTGAGACACCATTAAGTGTCTCTCCCATGCTGTAAGGATTTTCAAGCATCAGTCCTGTCCTTTCCCCTGACACATAAGCTGCAAAACATCTTTTATTATTGACCTAAAACATTAAATTCAATCTTTAATTATTTAAAAATGTGCACCGATTATATAAAATAAATTTCATATTTCTTGGAAAACAGAAAGAAAAAAGTAATTGTGTTTACGAAGACGAACCAGTGGATACATGGACCAAAACTTTGAGTTTGATACATTTCTTGGCAAAGTCTGCAACAAATTTAGCTCCAAACGTGTTGAGGACAAGTGACACGTCATATCTACAGGCAGAAAAAACATCATAATTTTTTAATTACTATTAGTTAAAAATTTATGTCATCAAGTTATAGCAAAGGTTAACGAACTATGTTCAAATGATAGTTTTAGTCACTGAATAGTTGCGCATCATTTCTTTTAACACTTTAATGATTGTAACGTCCCAATGATCATAGTATAATAATTCAATATATTTAATGATAAATTTGTAAGTTTTAGAACCAACAAATCTTTTAAATAAAGTTAAGTAACTTTTAGTTTATTTCTCCGTTATATTTTACCTTTCATCAAAGTTGGTTGTTGCAGCTAGATTAACTACAACATCAACTTCATTGAAGATCTCTTGCACCAAAGTAGAATCTTTAATACCCAAATCTTCGTGGGAGATGTCTCCGGGGACTAGGGTTATTTTTTCCGATATAAACGAACCGAAGTTTTTCCCGCATTTTTCTTTCAGAACTCTGAACAGATCCTTCCCTATGATCTGTAAAAACAACGACCTATATTACTCGGATTTGAATGACGAATTTCAAATGCGAAAATATGTACACCAAGTTTTTTTTTATATGTACCTCATTGTGCAAACGGTGTACAGCAGATTTATGATCCGCGGCTCGTAAAAGAAGGTATAGCTTCTTCGCATTGGGTTGAACTCTTAGTATTTTCTCCACAAAAACTGCAAGCAAAATTCATTACAAAACATGCATGTATGTCTTGGAAAATTCAGTTAAAGTCGGTGTCCTTACTCTTTGCTAAAAACCCAGCAGCACCGGTGACTAAAATGGACTTGTTGTCGAGAAACTGAAGAGCACTCCCTAATTCCATTGCGAACGATAGCTGAAAATAAAAGCTAGAATAACAGGAGCTTTAACTTTTTGTAACTGAAGACACGGTTGCTGTAAGATTTAGAGGAAATCTAATGGGGTTTGTGGTTCTTATATAGTGGCCGAAGCCAAGGATCAGAAGAAGGATGCAGTGGGAGATGAATGATGGGGCGTGGGGAAAGTGGAGTACACGTTAGTGGTTGGGAGTATGCTTGGGCTTCGTTATTTAATACCTCAAAATATCCCTGCTGTTACAACTTTTAAATCCAATCTTACATAAATGCTATTATGGAAATGATTTCCAATCCCAAATTTACTTGACTATTAATTCCCTTAATATTAATGTTTTTCTTCAGATTTTTAAAATTTAAGATATAATACTTAAAATAATATTATATCGAGAATATGGTGGAATAATGTTATTTTTACTATAATAATAATAATAACAGAGCCGTCCTAGACATTTTCGGGGGCCCGAGCGAAAACTAAAAAATATGCCTTTATAAAATGAAAATATATTTCATTATTTTGAACAATTAATTCAATATTACATAAACAAATCATAGTAAAATAATTAAATTTTATGAAAATATATTTTTATTATTTTATTAAGAAAACACCTTAAATACAACTAAAAGAGAATAAATATAAAAAATTGAATACATTTATGATACATTGCTTGATTTTGAATAATCAATAAAAAAAGAATTGTATGTTATTCTATTGTTAGATTGAGAATGAAGAACTCTAAAAATTAAAGAATATTTAATAAATTGAAGAGTAAGATTTGAAAAAAAATTTTGATTAAATTTAATTCAAAATTAAATGAATAAATAAGAGAAATTGAAAAGAGGGTAAAAAACTAAACATTTTATGAATTTATAAAAAGTAGGGGCCCTATTTATAAATCTAAAAAATTGGTTAAATTTAATTCAAAATTGGATGAATTAATAAGAGAAATGAAAAAAGGAATAAAAAATTAAAATTTCATGGAATTATAAAAATTAGGGCTTAATTTTAAATATAAAAATTAGAGGCCCTAATTAAGAATAAAAAATTGGGGCGGCCGGCCCTGAATAATAATAACAACAACAATTTGTTCTTTGGTTTTAGGGTTTTGGATGAGGAGGTGACCTACTAAAAAACCAGATTACAAGAAAAGTTGAAGAGTTGCCAATTAAGACCTAACAATTTTCAACCCTAAACAAGACGGTATAAAAATATGATACAATGACATGGCAGCAATGTGAAATATGAACTTGACATGTTAAAGTGTACATAAAATATCTATATATTTTAATTATTATTAAGGTTAAAAAAATATCCTTAAAATATTTGTGAAATAAAGAGTTTGTTTGGAGGCGACCTAACTTTTCATATGTGTTACTGTTGCGTGCAAATATTTGTCTGGCGCTCTTTCTATATTAAGTTAATTATATAGTATTTAATTATTGGTGATCCACCCTAGTCTGAAACATTTGAGTTCGTTTTTTATATTGATTGAGGTTTGGAATATTTTAAACAAATTATATTTAAGTTATGATGTGATTAGTTGTTAATGTATCGTCTTTGTTTTATTTATTTTTATTAGTGTTAATAATACTTATTTTTTTATTATTGATAATGATATTTATTTATACTTTTATTTTTCTCAAATTATTATGAATTAAAAAAATAATCATAAAAGTTAACATCATACTTGTGAAATGCATCGGGGGGGGGAGAGAGAAAACGATCCAATCAGTTCAATATTGCTAGCTATTAGCAGGTGTATTGGCGTATTAATTATTACTAGTAATATATAATTAAAATTTATTCAGTGAAACGTTAATTGAAAAAAAAAAGTATGTGAAATACTTTATTTTTTTCCGAATAAATATCAAATTCTTTTTAAGAAAATAAAGTTCAGAAATCATGACATGTAAGAGAGAACGTCTGACCCATAGGAATAAAAAAAATGATTAGGAAGGATATAAAACACATCACTGATTAGTCATTCCAAGATACAATTATAATCTGGTTATACTGTCTCACACCTAAAACAGCTGTTTGTACCAATTTTTATGACCTACTTTTATTTATTTTTGTTCAAAATTTTTAATTAAATTTTAATTTTTTTATATGACTTTTATGTGATCTTAAGTTGTTAATTTTGTTTTAATGATTTATAAAATTATTTTAATTATATATTTAATTTACTATTATAATTATAAATTTTTATTGTACTTTAAGATTTTTTTTGAATGAAATCAGTGATTTAAAAAAAATACGATGCCTTCTGTTCTTGTCCCTCATTGTGAGAAGGTCTTGTCTGATCTCTATCATGGTTTTATTTACTAATCTTCTTGTTTTAATATTCATCCCTATATTACATTTTGATCTTTAAATTTTTATTATTTAGCCTTAAAATAATTGAAATAAAATAATTTACACATGGATATTATTTTTAATAAATTGTGATAAATATCAAAATGGGTAAAACTCGAGTCTCAAAAACCGTGAACTAAACTTAAAACTATAAAAAAAATGTATACATAATCCATTAATGAAGTGTATTTACATGTATTTTAGTTGGATTCTTTAATTAAAAATAAATAAAAAATGCTTGAAAGCCACCACGAGCAATTACACATATATACTCTAATTCTAATTCATCTCTGTAAACACTAACATTCAATTCGATATAAATCACTACAGCAAAACAAGTTTTAACACTATTTTCTTAGCTCTGTAGCGCGTTTTTAAATGTCGTTAAAAATTTTCCAGCACTAATAAAAGCGTCGCAAGAAACATCGTTAAAATTAACGTCGCAACAATTATCGAAGTTTGTGAATAGAAAACATCGTAAAATATCAAGTTTATAGTGACGTTTTTCTCTAAAATGCGTTAATATTATCAAATTGTGGCGTTTGGCTTAACACGCTACGATATGAATAAAATTCGAAAAACCATTTTTCACCCACTTTCCCTATTATTCCAACAAAGCTGCATGGAGAACATTAATACACAATCATTTTCACCCATTTCCCCTATTAAAATGCCGTTAATATTATCAAATTTTGTGTATATTGAAAAAAAAACCATTAAAAGAATTATTTTTTATTTTTAAAAAGGTGGTACTACCTACTAATGAATAGACAGTCATTAAATATCTTTTAGGTATGCTCAATGCTCAGAGCATTACTTGTTTGAGTGAACATAGACGTGTGAGTTCCAAAACCTTTAAAGTTACGTTCTTTTAATTTATTTTGGAAATAAAATACCTTATTTGGTTAGGGTAGGCAAATGAAATTCATCAGTGAATTGGTACAGCAAAGAATGAAATAATCATTAATCGATAGATTTTGACAATTCTAATGGAAATATCATGACATGTTTCACACCGTCTCATGCAACAACTGTTTGCACCATGCCTTGCAAGAACTAACAAAATCATTTGGATAAAATTTCTTATTTTGTTTGGGATAGGTTATATGTTTAATACCTAAATTATTATTTTTATTATATTTTAATATCCAAACTTTATTTTTTTTTCAAATCATACTTACGGTTTAATTTAGGCTTTAGTTTGGTACTCGTCATTAAAAATTAAGTTGAAATTATATTTTTTTACTTTTTTAATGATTACACGGTATTACCTTATGATAACACGTCAACGTCACTTTGAGTTTTAACGATAAGATACGAAAATGAAACCTAAACTAAACATTATGTATAGCTTTGAAAAAAATAAAGTTTGAATACCAAAATAGAACACATGTTAATTTAATTAATAAACGCATGTGTATAATCTATTCAGTTTAATTCAATTTAATTGCTATTATCGTTGATATATTATATAGTAAAACATGAGATAAAGTATGCTTAATCCTATAATTTATATATGGGAGGGATCCATTATTTGATTTTAGTATTATGAACCTTAGTCTTTTAAGATGTTGCATTTCAATCATCTACATCACATTCAATAAATTATTATATTTTTTAATACTTAAATTTTTTAATTTATTAAATATAACCTTACTCTCTCTTAAATTATTATATAGTTAAATAAATGATAAAATATACAAATAGTCCCCGATTATAAGATATTGTTTTGTTACGTTTTCCGACTATCACCTGACTATAGGGAGTTGCTTTGTTGAGTCCCTCAACTATTAAAAGTTACAAAATGGTCACCTGATTATTCATTATGTTATAAACTCATAATTTTTCGTTAAAAAATTAGCGATCGTTTGAGCTGGACGTTAACATGCTGATTGAGATATGATAAACGTTTGAGATTAGGAGATCATATTTTATCATATATCAGTCAGTAGATTAACGTTCAACTTAGACTGTCGTTAATTTTTAACGAAAAAAACGAGTTTGAAATATAATTAATATATCATAGTTGATGGACCGTTTATATATTTTACCCTTTATTAAAATATCAAATTAAACCTCAAAATCGATTTCAAATATATATTTACGCATTTCGCATTTTTGACTTGAAACATTATAATACCTAGTGCATGTAATATAATTAGGTGAGCAATATCATGGTTATCAGATCTATAAAAGATGAACAAACAAAATTAGAAAAACATTAAGAGTTAATTGCATCATATGTCCTCAACATATGATCCTCATTTTAAATTGATTCTTAAACTTTTGAATATTCCAATTTCATCCTTAAACGATAACTTTCATTCTAAATTAGTCCTTAAACTTTTGAAAATTCCAACTTCACCCTCAAACTATGAACTTCATTTTAAATTCATCCTCAAACTGTTGAATCTTTCAATTTCATCCCCAAATCATCCAAATATGTAATTAGTTTCAAGCATAGTTTAACATATTATTTTCAAACATACAATATATAACTTGGCCTAACGATTTTATCAACAAATGATAGGATTAGTATATATATATAGTTTGGGATGAAATTGAAATGATCAAAAAGTTTATGGGACCAATTTAGAATGAAAGCCATAGTTTGAGGATGAAAATGAAATGTTCAAAAATTTAAGGACTAATTTAAAATGATAGTCATAATTTAGGGATAAAATTGTAACATTTAAAAGTCTAT